TGTATTGATGGTGGTGTGTTTCCTGATCTAATGAAATATAGTAAAATAATACCTTTATTTAAATCTGGTAGTACTTTTGACCCCTCTAACTTTAGGCCCATTTCAGTACTACCTACATTGAGTAAAATTTTTGAAAAAATTATTCTGGAACAACTTTTGAACCACTTCAATTCCAATAACCTGCTTCATAACAAACAATATGGATTCACTAGAGGTCGGTCAACTATTGATGCAGGTGTAGATCTCATTAAAAATATTTTTCAGGCTTGGGAAGAGTCGCATAATGCCCTTGGGGTTTTCTGCGACTTATCTAAAGCTTTTGATTGTGTTGAGCATAATACATTGTTGAGGAAATTACACCATTATGGTATTAGGGGCGTTTCATTAGAACTTATTAAATCTTATTTATCCGGAAGAATCCAAAAGGTAGACGTTAAAGGAACGAGATCTTCCGGTGTCTTACTTAATATGGGTGTTCCTCAGGGTTCCATATTGGGTCCCTTCCTATTTCTTGTATATATCAATGATTTACCTAAGTTTATTGAAACCCGTCACGAGGTCGTATTATTCGCTGATGATACATCATTATTGTTTAAAATTAAACGACATTTGGAAGATTATGACGATGTGAATGATGCTATCTCGCGCGTGGTACATTGGTTTAGTGTTAATAATCTGTTATTAAATAACAAAAAAACAAAATGTATAAAATTTACCACACCTAATGTTAGACAAGTTGACACTAATATTACTGTAAGTGGAGAGACACTGGAGCTTGTGGATTCGACAGTTTTTCTTGGTATAACAGTTGATTCCAAGCTGCAGTGGGGTCCTCACATATGCAAGTTAGCGAGTAGGCTTAGTTCTGCAGCGTTTGCGGTAAAAAAAATACGAATGTATATTAATGAAGATACGGCACGCCTGGTTTATTTTAGTTATTTTCATAGTGTTATGTCCTATGGCATTTTGCTATGGGGCAATGCTGCCGATGTCGAAACGATTTTCATCCTGCAGAAGAGGGCTATTCGTGCTATTTATAATATGCACCCGAGGGAATCCTTGAGGGACAAGTTTAAGGAAATCAAAATTCTAACTTTAGCGTCCCAATACATTTTTGAAAATTTATTGTACGTGCGTAAAAACATTGAAGAATTCCCCAGAGTCTGCGATTTGCACAATGTGAACACTAGGAACAAACATAGGCTTGCGTTGCCGGCGGCTCGAATTAAGAAAATAAGCAACTCTTTTAGGGGGCTGGGTGTACAGCTTTTCAACAAGATCCCACTAAACGTTCAATTACTACCTGTTCATAGATTTAAGAAAACTGTTAAGGAACGTTTGTGCAACAAGGCATATTACCTATATAAAGTTAAGGATTATTTACTAGATGGCACTACGTGGGAATTAGGCGCTCGCTCCTGGCCTTTTCATTTTTCATTATTATGAATTTTATTAATTGTATTTTTTGACTTGTTTTTTCTTTTATTGTAAATATTTTTATTTATTTAAAAAAAAGAAAATATTTGAGAAAAAACAAAAAAAAAAGCCCTTGAGTTTGTTTCGCCGGTTCTTCTCAGGACTGTGGCTTTTTTTGGAACCGGTGGTAGAGTTAATATTGTTATTTGTATTTTGACATTCAACAAGTGTGTCATACTGACATCTATGTTGAAATAAATGATTTTGAATTTGAATTTGAACACAACTGATGATTAATATGATTTATAATTATAAATTAATAAAACTTGATACATTTGATGAGGTTTTGTTTAGTTGGGAAAATTTTCCATTGGCTATTTTCCATACACAGTAAAACAATTAACAAATTAGACATGGGAACATGTAATTCATGCCTTACAAATAAGTGAGTGCGAACTGACAGCTCCTGGCGACCGGTGCCGGAGACCACGTCGCCGTGAAAATTGTTGTACTCCCAAAAGAGAGTAAACGCCATGCTTCCAACGAGCGGGCGTTCTTCTTATAAATGAGTTTTATTTCTTCGTGTTATAATGGAATATATACCTATATATTTATTTATTAAGTTGCACCAACAAAGTGATCATCGATGTTTTGTACATTGAACAATTGACAAAAGTTCATGGCAGATGTCACCTCAATTATAGGTACAATCGACAGTGCATTAACAACAAAAATAAATAAAAAATTATATAACTAAGATTGATTGCTTAAGATAAATTTATATTTAATTGGGAAATGATCCGCGACAGATTTTTCCTGTAAGTACTGAGACAATTAGAAAAAACATCTATTTCACTTAAAATTAGTTCAGCGCAATCGGACAACTCCGAAGGTACATTGACGGAGACCGCGCTACCGTGGACATTATTGTAGTCCCAAAGGATTCTGTTTAAGGGAGAGTAAGCACCTAATGAATAGAAAAGAATTATACCATACAAATAGATAAATATTATACAGTTACCTATTATTTGTTACGGGGTTCCAAAGAGTATTTCATTTACCACTGTAGCCCAAAATTTACTTTCTCAGGTAGGTTTCACTTTTGTGGAATTAATATATGACGAAGAAGGCAGGATTACGTGGAGGTAGAGGATGTAACGGAGGTGAAGGATCGGCGGTGCTTCTGAAAGGTTACGGAAGTTCACGTACACTTCTCGGAGGTTATCGTAGATTCCCGTAGATTTCTCGGAGGGCTTAGTAGACTCTCGGAGATTCACAGGGTCTCGGACGGCTTAGTAGGTTCTCGGAGGTTTAACGGAGTGACTAGTGACTTCAGCGATTGGCGTCACGTTGCTTTTACAAATGGTGACGTCAGCGTCATTCTATTCATTATTGTCATTCATTGCCTTCCATAGTGATCGTAATTAAGAGTCGCTTTTGTGAGCAATTCGAGTGTACAACAATAACAACAGAGCTCCGCCCCGATCGGATGCTCGAGTCGGTACGTTTTGTGTCACAATAGTCACTCGTATTTATAGTAGAAAACAGGGCTGGATTCGGATCGAAGATACACACCTATCTTTAATTAATCCTAGGTAACTAAATAGTAATGTTGCGCTGACATATGTGTATTATGTGTAATAAATAGATAAATATTTTCAATATTACAAATAAAGTTTCTAGGGATGATTCTGTCTTGCCTACTACCTCCACCTTCAAAGCATGTGCTAAGGCGTCCTTCAAGGTCAAATATTTACACATCTAGGTTATAGAATGTAATCGAGGTTATTTGCGATGCACAGCACACTCTCGCAAAACTCGCTGCAACTTGTAACAGCGCGTAGCCGGTCTACCAGTTCCTACCTTCTGTACACAATCGAAAAAAGCCTTACCGAAAGTCATCAAAGGCTCTCCTTAGCCTTAGTAAATGTAAAAAAAGACAACTAAGTATGATTTTGGGATCTTTTACTGGTTACAGATGTTTTAACACACATCTAAATGTTGTAGGTATAGCCGGCAGCCCTCTGCCCCCGTTTAACACGGAGCCCGGGCGGCAGTCCCCGCGGAGTCTGAGCGAGCTGTGGACTCGGCTCGACTCGGATGTATATATAACACAACCGAAACTTCGACCGCTCCTGTCGCCGCCCCGATGCTGTTGACACACTAAGGGCATCCTGAAGAAGCATCCTGGACGAGATAATAAAAAAAATCGGTTGTCTGTAAAGTCGGTTTACCGACGATAGTTGAACGTGATAACGTCATAAGAAAATACTGATGGAATGGTTTCATTTTTCAATTATTGCAATTATCGTTGCTATAAACAATTGACACCACATTCACTTTTCACTGAACTTCATAGTTGACGAAAACATGTAAATGTATTATTGTATAGCAGCTGTCCACGCGGATGCATCGCTCATTCAAGTAGGAGAGAGACTGCGGAGGCCGATTGTGCCTCCTTGTCGCTCGTTGCGCGCTCTCGCTTGCACTTCAAGCCTTAAATGGAACGCCTCAGGGCGAGGTAACGCCGAATGAGTCACGTTTTTTCGTGCGTGCAGCCTTACGTTTTCACGTCAAAAATTCCCGCTCAAGCTATTTCCATCCCGTTACTTTTCCTCGTATGAAAAATGAAACACAACAGACAAAATAAAAATTAAATTGAATTTCAAATGTTTCGTGGTTACAATTATAATTATATTTAATGTGAGAGTAGTTAATTGGCATAGTGTGGTGTGGTTTTTTATTCCTTATCATTTGATATCAGATTTAAAAATGTTTTTGGTTTTATCTGAGTATTGTTGTCGTCGTCGTGATCTCAAGGATGAGACCCTCGACGTACTCATAGTCCTGTCGAGCGACGTGCTTGTGTTCAATTGTGTGTCGCGCAGTCATTTGTCGATTTTTCACTTGAAGTATGTACTTGAATCATATTTGAATCACAAAAATAAAACTGCTATTATAATAATCTGCTGAGATGAGTGGCGACGTTCCGTGTGCTCCGGCACCCATTTAATATCAGGTGGGCCGTGAGCTCGACTACCCTAAGCAGACTTACAGATCACTAAAAGATCAGCTCAGCAATGAAACATTGGAGCATGGATGTCACTTACACCCAACTTCGAATCAAGCGGTAACAGAATTTTTATTTCCTAAATACACATTGAACTATACTTACATTACATAAATTCAAGACAAACTACATATTATTTAAATTTAGACATCACAACAATTACTTAATTTTACTAGAATAGAATATGAAGACATACTTATTTTATTAAATATAACCAGAAGTTAGCGTAAATATTTTACTATAATAGAATATGAAGACATAATTATTTTATTAAATATAACCAGAAGTTAGGGTAAATATTTTTTTTCTAAAATTAATCGCTATGGAATGTTGTTTTTGTATTTTAAATATGATTACTAGCTTTTTATTATGATTATTATTATCCGCTTACACATTTTAACATACAATACAATATAGATATTAACTTTAGTACTATAATAATATACTACTACAGCGACAATAGATGAACGAAGATGAGAATAGAATGACGCCAGGTGAAGGTTGAGCCGGACGCTCACCACCGGGGGGCGCGGGGGGGAACAGACCGGAACAGGCCCCGGTACGCGTCCCGGTACTCGTGGGACAGCACCATGTACACGAGAGGGTTCACACAGCTCGCCAGGTACACGAGGATGTATCCAATAAGGAATAAAATAACGGGCACGTCCTTTTCAAATATCTTCACCAGAGTCATCGGCAAGTAGCATATCCACACGGAACACAAGATCGCAGCGATCATGATTATCAGCTTCCGGTCCTTTTTGGACAGCTGCATGGTATTCAATTTGGTGACCAAGTTACGAAACGCTGATGCGCCGGATGACGATGAGGTCGAGGCGCCTTCGGTGGACTCGATCTCCTGATCAGCAGGAGAAGTGTCCACAGAGGGCGGCTGAGCAGCACGCGCGACGGGCGGACGAGTGGCCCAGCTGCCGCCGCGGGGCGCGGAGCTCCGATTTGATCTTTTCGAGGAGTCCCGTACTTCGTAGAATAAACGTGTGTAGCAAATGGTCAAAGTCGCAAATGAAGTCAAAAACGTAAATATGTAATAAATGGCTCTTGGTGATCGTCCCGCTGAATCTGCTACAATCGTGTACGATCCCGTCACATTATCGCGTCCGAACTGTCCATAAATTCCAAAGCAGGTTGGCATTAGCATCATTATTGCCAGAAACCATATGGTGACCACCATCAAAATAACATTACGCATCGAAAATAATCTGGAAAAGTTTACTTGAGTTAATTTTGAAGATAGATAGATGAGTTATTTGTACATTTACATCGTAACGGGAAAATTTACTGACCTATTTGAAATCGCTGGCTGCGTGATTAAAATAACCCGACTGATACTGATGGCCATCATAGACAACATAGAAGTGGCCAGCAGAACGAATCGCGACAAGGGCAGCAACCTCCGGGCCACGGAGCCCAGCGTCCAGGTGCGGCGGAGCAGGGCCAGCCCCGTCAACGGGGCGTGCACTCCGCTCAGCAGCAGATCCGCCGCGCACATGTTCATTATAAACAAAGATGCCGGTTTCGCCTTCTGTAGGGTCGACAAACACATTCACTACGATATTGTACAGCTTCATCCATCGTCACAACTCTACAATGTGCTAAACTGAGCGGACCGTACCAGCTTACACTTGCCGAGGGCCATGATGGTGACCGCGTTGAACGGCACGCCGATGAGGGCTATGAGGAAACAGCAGCCTGCCGCAGTGTAGATTGCGAACGAAGGACACTCCCGGAACAGAGCCGGCTCTGATGTCGCCGCGTCACTTACATTGCTGACAGGTAATGTATCCATTGTTGATATTTCATCAGGTTCCATGGTGATTCCTGAAAACAAACCATTCGATAATTACACTCTGTATGACAATATGAAACTAACCTGCGGGCGTAACTACCTTCAAACCTGGTCTTAATTTTATTTTACGATAAACAAATGTTAAGTGAAACGAAGAGAGCGGCATTAGGTAAAGTAGGTACTCGTATATACAGAGTCAGTATGTACATTAGGTTGCGAGCAGTTCGTAGCGCTACAGGTGGTTCATTGTACCAGCCCAGTTCGGGCTCGGAGCGCGGCGCTGCGACCCTCCCTCTCGATTGCCAACAAATATTCAACTAAAGGCTATTCAGCTTTTTAATTTGCGAAATTAATTCACCACATCACGCGTATTTTTAATATATATATATAGTATATGATACATATATACCTACATACGAGAGATAACTGAGCTAGATCAATTTATTTATTTTAGGAAATTCATTTGTAACGTGGTCCCAACTTTACTTTACCGCCTCTGCATCTCTGTTCATTTCATAAATTTTAAGAAAAATATATCAGCGCCCTTTTAGAGTACTGTTATGGTATTTTCTTCAAATAAAATATCCCAAGTGAATGTAAAGTTTACGTTGTCTATGCGTCCATGCCGGTACTGTAATTGCCGACGTGTGATGGATTAGGCAAACATCTTGCGCTCGATTTGGGTACACGAATCGCAGTGGACTGAACAGTCATGGAATTATAACCGACTTAGGATTAGCGACCAAAGATTAGCGATTTGTCGTGGGCGTTCCCGCGGTCGACAAATGCCGACCTTGCTACGCTCCGCCCACTCCCTTCATTTCAGAAATATTTTGGTCTTAACGGTAAGTCAAAAAAGTTTGATATTTACTCCAAAAACCAAAACAAGTAACAAAAATTCTGGATTAGATTCATTTAAATTTGTAAGGTTTTACTTTAAGTGCGGCTCCCAACGCGGAGACCAGCAAGGCCGCTCGCTCTCTTGTTCTTCAAATATTACTGAAAATTGTGTTTTAAAATGACCCAGCTTCTCATGAAAATGAAATAGTGTATTTCTTGTGAGTTAGTTCACGCTGATCCCCGCTCAGTTTGTATGTAGGAGTAATTGGAGCCCACAGACACCAAATCCACGTCAGCTCTACGACTTTCTCATCGACTGGAGTTGGAGGGTCTTCTGCTGTTGAAAAGTGTTTTCGTTGAAATTGATTTCATTTTAAGAACACGTCGAGTGCATCGGCCCCGGACGCGGCGACGTAGTGCTGCAGCAGCCCAGTATGCGGAGCTGTTGGAGTGCTCGGTAGCGCAGACTTCGTTCTTTTACTTTATTCAAGTCGCACTGGTTTCAATTTCTTCTTTTACTTTATAATTATTTCTACTGCTATAGACACCATATTATATAAATTTTTGGGAAAGAGCAAGCTCTAAGTTTCTTGTTGATTGTTCTGAGCAGTGAAAGCAAGTTTGTACTGACCGCGCGCCGTGGCCCTCCTCCCGAGCTGCTGCTGCACGGCGGCCGCGCAGTGCGGGGACCAGCACCCTCGGACGCTGCGAGCAGAGGAAACTATTTAAACGATACCTTTAACTATTGTTTTGTATCAAAATATTTGGAATGATAATATAATAATAAAAATGAATTATCAAATCATAAATATAAATAAAATAATAATAGTAAATTTAATTTTGTTATTGTTACATCAAAATTTTCAGTAATTAGTTTTGTATGTTTAAAAAGAATTATAGTAGATTTTTGCGGCACCCGATGTACGTCTGATGGTTCAGTTACAATTTGTTTCAAGTTTACGAGATAAGATATCACTTATAGATTCTGATTACACCATTTCTATTATAACTAGTTTTTCTTTTCACAAAAACCATTTTTTGCTAAGGTACACTTTTCAATTAACAGGACTTGATAAACTATTAAATACCGACATGTATTCTAATACATGTGAGTATATTTGTTTGAAGTTAATCGCAACGTTTTCATTCAGAACTAGATATTCTATAAAGAAAAACTCCGGAGTAATTACAAATGAAGAACTGCAAGACGCTGGTCGCGTGACGGAGTGCCGAGTGAGGCGGGTGCGTGCGTCTGGACCCACTGCTGCCTGCGACTGGCGGCCGGGGCAGGACGGGGCAGGCCGGGGTAAACCCGCACGCCTCGCCGCTCCCTCTGCATTTTCTCAAATTGCACACTGCATTTACTTCTGGTTCCTATATATAATATCTAAATTTATATATCTATATAATGGTTATTTATATATAACTTAAACCGAACTTAAGAGAATAACAGCCAAATTTTTGGTCTCGGCTATAGCTGTGTCGCGTCTCCGATAAAACTACTTTGTTCATCTGCGTCTTGGTAACAATCAACTTTTCAACACTATTTGATAATAGCTTCAATGGTTATAAAAACAATATTAATTGAGTTACCGAAACCATGCTAATATAGTTATAATTTCAAGTTTGAATTATTTATTATCATAAAAATTTTACCACATACCCCACGATGTTTTAATATTAACAACTAATTTAGATTTAATAGAAAATGTTCATAGTGTTGTCATGCTCACAGGTAGATGTCTTCGTAGCTGTAGCGCTACGACGTAGCATGCATCCGTAGACGGGGCACCGAAAGCAAAATGTAGATAATATGTATAAAGAAGTGATTATATACATAGATACGGAACCAGTGAGTCGCGGCATTCCTGCGGATGACACTAGACTAGGTGTGAGTATGCGGAGGGCAGTTGAAGACTCGTAGTCTCATGTCTCATTGTTGAAACCACATCGGGTGAATGCAAGCGAACGCTAATTGGAGAAACACTGTACTTGTAAGACTACCTCCTGACAGGGGCTGAAGCCGGGCTAAAGCCCTTCTACGGCCCCCGCCTCGTTGGCGATGCGGAGAGAGATGAGATCTCCTTCTCTAGTTCCGCCGCCTCGTTCTTCCTGATGGTCGGCTTTTAGTAGACCGGTAACTCTCCTGGAGTTTCAGCAGTTTCCTCCCATCCAGTTTGTTTTCAGCAGTAATTACTTTCATGTATCCTTATTTTTTAGTAATAAAGAGTAGTGTTATAGGTGCGCACGGCATTAACTGGTTACTGGACATCGTAACATGACTGCAACCAAAAACAACCTTGAAACATGAGGTCCAAGTCTCACTATTCAAATTCTTCAATCGGGCTGCTTCAAATTTCAAAATACATATTTCAATATACTATTAATATCTTCGATGAGAATTATCAGTTTCCATCAATCGGTACGATGCAGTTTTGGATTAAGTTCATAAATATTCTAATCGTTGCAGAGTTTCATTAAAACCCGTTTGTTGATGTCAAGCGACCGCCCTGAAACAATTATAGAAATTGAAATCGGATGTGAGAGAGTCTATTGCCCTTTCGTAGTAGCTTCAACTTTGAGATGGTTTAAGCCTCATACAAATCTTCATCTATGATGGAAATTACGTGTTGATGGTCAGTGAGCGCTCTGGTATCGAATTTTAGTTTAAGCCACAAGTGACATTACACGCCTAAAGCGCTCATTGTGTGAAATCGCCCGACCTAAATATTAAGTTTTTATGGCAACACTGAATGGCTTATCACAATTGAACGCATATACATTCCATGTGTGTGCTATTAGCTCTTGAGGAGTCCTTAGTTAGGATCCAGCACCGAGTCCAGAATCCGTGTCATAGTAATAATTTATAATGCCTACATAAAATACGTGTACCTATTGTCTGTCTGTTGACCATTGAAGAGTTGCTCACCGCTCACCAGTGTGTTCCCTGTCAACGAACCCGAACAAGGCGTTTAAAAGTCAATCCCGAACGAGAGAAAATGGTTCTAGTATTGCAGATTTGACCTGAATAAAGTTAAGTGGTACATACAAACATAAGAAACTAATATAAATCTTGTAGCTCGGCTCCGATGCTTAAGATGTAAAGTTTCATAGCGATTTGAGAATATATTGAGCGCCAGAAATAGTTCTCCATTGAACCTAACAGCAGTGCACAGCAGGTACAGCCCGTTTGCCGACACAAAACATCAAGACTGATGAACATTACCTTAGCTACGCACACGTCGCGGCGTCGGTACAGAGGAGCTCGACCTACTGAGACTGCACACCTGCACTGTACACAGCATTCGTGTGATATCAGCTTAAGATTAATATAACATTTTCATTTGGTTCAATCCTATCAGGTCATGTGAAGATTACGGAAAACATTTCACAAAAAAAATATTGTCAATTAATTAATTTGTATTGCCGATTCACTTTGTCGTATTATGCAAGCTTTTAGGATTGAAGTATGACCCGTGGCCCGGTAGCCCTTCCGGTTTCATCAGGACAGGAGAGCGAGTAAAGGCTTAGCCAGAAGGGGTGGGATTTGCCATCAGCTGACCTAGCGCCTCCAAGGAGACCTAACAACTCAAGAGCAGCTGCTTCTTGAATGAATCTACTACTCAGCGGGCTGACGCATGAATTCTTTCTTCTTAGTCGCATACTTCATTACTGAAGTCGTGTCCCTGAAAGACCTTCGTGGCCCTTTTTATCATCAGCTTCCATTTCGTTCGGTTTTCGGTGAGAGTCCGGTAATCGCAATTACCAGATCTGACCAACGGATTGGTGGCCGGCCGGCGGGTCTTTTCTCTACTATCTTGCCCACCAGCGCAAAATTTTTCAAGGTCGTCTGTTGGCCGCCGAGCAATGTGACCAAAGTAACCAAGAACCTTTTGTTAGCAAATCGTAGACAGTCTAGTTTCTACGCGAAGTTGCTGGAGGACAGATTTGTTTGTTTTCTTGGCCGTCCACGGCACGCGGAGCATTCTTCGCCAACACCACATCTCGGACGCTTCTATTTTTTTCCGCTCTGTTGCTCGAATCGTCCACGACTCTGCACAATAGAGAAAAATCGAGAAAACCAACGTCCGGGCTAGTCTCATCTTGGTAGCAATAGAGACTTTTCTGTCTTGCCAAATACGCGGCTATATTCTTTGCCGAGTTCGACGAGTATGGTTATCGGGGTCCCTAAGCCTGAGAGCCTAAGAGCTGAAGGCATCTAATGCAATAGTTAGAGGATGTAATCTATCCGCAAAGACGTGTCTAGGGTGTAGACGGTGACTGGCTCCTGCATGAGCAGGAATCGGGGAATAGTCAGCGGCTGCAACGATACGGCGATTATCATAACGCATAGTCTTATCGAAGTACCATTCCGACGATGAATTTATGTGTTTTCGGATTGATTCGAGGCCCAGGTCATCGTGTAAGTAGACGTTCCTCACTAATAACGGTGCTTCGACGGCTAACCTGCAAAAGCGGGATTCTAGAGATAGACGATGTCTATCTAGGTGTGTACAGGCCGTGTGAGCAAATACCACCACACTTGCATAAGTCATGACGGGCCTAATCCATGTTTTGTAAAGTGTGACCTTGTTCGGAAGGGACATTTTACTCCGCTTACAGATCATAGTCGTAGCAGCATTAAAAATGGATACCAAAATCACGATGAGTTGGACGGGTAGAAGTTTAATAATGCGGTTAGATATACCGTCGGAACCGGGAGCCTTGCGAGGACGTAGATCTTTGATCAGGTCTTTAACTTGCATTGGTTACTCCGGGTGGTAACGCATCCCAGGGTGGTAAGGAGACTCTGCGTTCATTCGTTAATTCTATATGAACGGGGTCCGTGGATTGAGAGCCGGGGGTGCACTGGGCTTGCAATGTATCGGCCAGCAGCTCTGCTTTTTTGTAGTCATCAAACGCCGCGAGTCAGCCAGCCAGGTCAGGGACCTATAAAGGTGGGGTCACAGTTACTACTGTATCCGATTTGAGAGTACGAGCTAAGCGATAGTAAGTTGGGAGGGCGCAAATCCTTGTAAGAAACCATCTGGCATTTCGGACTTCGGCGATGCGAGACTTTACGTCACGTTGCAGGGCACACGTTCGAATACGATTTTCTTCGGTAGGATACCCATGAACGGCGTGGACCGAGGCGTTCTTGGCTCTCATGAGTCCCCTAATATCTTCGGGCAATTTGAAGCGGTGAAAGATGTCCTCCACTACAACTTGCTTCGATGACCTATATAATGTCGAGAAAGAGGACACATACGACCTGCAGGCGGTTGCAGTTGTTTTGGGGAGAGCGGGGGTGGCGGGCGCGACGGAGACCGTGAGTGAGCTCACGGCGTGATGAGCTACTAAGTTGCCGAACGAGTCCCGGGAATACGGAGGCCCGGCAGCTCACAGATGGCGATGCGACGCAATTAGCGCAGGTAGCCACTTCCGAAAAAACATTTTGAGGCCAGATGTGCCACGAACCGAGGTCGGGCAATCGAACACGTCATCGATGAGCATGTCGCGACGGGTGCTTCAATCGGAATTATATGCAAAGCTTTGGCGGCGCGAATGACATTATCAAATTGAATCATGTCTAAGTGCGAGGCAGTTGGTTTTATAAGTCGTTTCAGATCAATATGACTGATAGCATGGCTGTGAGAGAGAGATCGTGCTGCTGTAAGTGTTGTGTATCGTACAAA